TGAATTTGGATTAAATTAATTACTTCATAAAAATATCAATTTAGTAGGTGCCCTATAAGTAGCTGTCCACTTCCTGCTGGGTGAATCCTAGACAGGTCATTAAGGGCCTTACAGTTTAGGAGGGAAAAAAGGGCAGAAAATGGAAGAATGGAAAAATCATTATGTCCTTTTCACAAATGGGAAACCAAGGTGTAGAGAGATTGAAGGTGGGATTCATCTGCCCATAGACAGGCATTTGCATTACTAGTTACAAATGTTCAAGCTTTGTATGTGGACTTCTCATAGTCAATAGTGGGAAAGCTCATTCTTGCTGTACCAGACCTCCAAAATAAACGCTTCTTGGTTAGTAGTTGTATGGTGTCTTACCTTCCATTGACTCTCAAGGCATTCAGTCTCACAAGGCTCAGGTGCAGAAAACGTCACATGGATATTAAAAGTCAGGTGAGATGAATCCCCTCAGCTCCATGTCCCATGGGAGGTTTGTGTCAGTGTCTGAGAATGAGCCTGGTTTTCCTGAGAGTTTAACAGCAATGCCCTTCTCTGAAGACCTCTGACTTTAGTACTATTACATCTCCTGAGGGAGAGCCTGATGCTGGGGACTCTGAAAGTCTTCATACGCTATGAAGGGCAGTGCATAGCCACTGATGTGAGATTGCTTGTCTCTCCTCTGAATGGTCAGGTAAAATGTTGCCGGGTTGTGGTGTTCAGCGGGAGCATGGTAGAGCCCTGGGCCTTCATTAGTCCTCCAGCTGTCCAGAGATGAGACTTCCAGAGGGAGGGAAGGTGAATTGCTACTTTTCTGTACCTTGATCCAATTCCTGTAACTTGAAGTTTTTCCCCATCAATCAGTCCCATATGATGCCAAACCTCCTTCAGGAGGCTGCAGCCAGAAACATAAAAGGCCTATTCAACTAAGGACATTTTTGATAGGTGACATGACTAAAATTTCCTTAGAGATTTAGGTCTTGTTTGTCTACAGCCAAGATGTTTCCAGGGCAATCAAGGGACCCTTGGACGGATTATTGACATACTTTGCATCACTTGGTTGGGGAGTAAAGAGCAGTAGATGTCAATGTATGTGCCAATTATTCTACTATAAAATATGTATGTGGTGCCAGAATCAAACCATAAAAATAAGAATTTCATGAACTCAGACTCTTGGTTGGGCATCTTGCATTTTGCATGGCTGAAGCTTTTACACTTGATTATTTCAAGGCCTTCTGGGTTTTTTTTAATGTTACTTCACTGACACATAACTTCTCTAAAGAGGGAGAAACTGCATCAAGGCCAAAGCTGACATTTTCCACTGTGAAACAATGGCAATGAAAGATAAGTCTGGAGATACCCTGATTTTCCAGCCTGTTTTAATTACTATATCAGGCTTCTTCCTCAGTTAATCTAAAAATTTCTCCAAAGTATACTGTTTCAGGTTTTTCTTTAATGTAAATTTTAAGCTCAGTTCATTCTGTCCAAGAATGTAGGTTGCATAGTCAGATATTTGTGCAGGGATGTACATCTGTATGTTTACATTGGGGAACAATTATTACTCTCTTCTACTCTGTTGTCTGCTGAGTAGAAAAAACTTCGAACAATTAATTTCATGTCTCTTCTGTAAGCCAAAGAAGCACTCTAAATCTTTACTTTCAAGAAGCAATTAACTTCAGGTTTATTAGTCAAGTTGTGCTATGAAGTTCCAATCTTTCATTGTACACTGTGAATTTTAATTACAATTTATTAAAATAATTTAATTGACTTCAGTCAATGGGCGTGAATGAGGGCAGAATTTCCCTGAGAAAGCTGTAGACAGAAGAAAAGGCCACCCATCCTAAATGCCTTCTGCCTGCCCTTTTTTGGGTTGCATCAGACTGTTTGAAAGAGGGCTGCATTTATCATCTTTGATGCCTCCAGCTCAATGGTCAATTCATATTAGATTCCACAAAAGGCAGTGAACCAAATTCATCTCTGATACAATTCCATTGACTTCAATGGTCTTACCACAGGGATTAATCTGGCCTAATATTATAGTGTTAGAATGTGTGTGTGTGTGTACTATTAGCCCAGGCTCTTTGCTGGAGATCGTGCCGTGTAAAAGCTGGTGGCTGTTGCAGTTGCAATTTGCTCAAGAAATCCAATTCCTTTTGTCGACCCACCGAAGTTCTCATTCCAAAAAAAAAAAAAAAAAAAAAAGACCAAAAACCCCTCAAAATCTCTAATCAATTTGGAACTGCAGCTGAATTTAGATGTATATTTGCTAATTTGGTGTATTATACATGCAAATATTGGCATAAAAGGTGTTTCAATTATTTTCTAAGGCAGGGACCTATGCATTCTGCGCAGTCACAAAGAGTTTAAATGGAGTTATTTTTCCCTGCCTATAATCGTTCTCCCTTTTAAGTACCCAGGCAGAAAAAGTAAGTTTACTGCTTCTAGCACAATGGCTCTCTTCACTTTTAGGTTTGGGAGACCTGGGTGACCTACGAAAGTTAATTAGAAGGTTAACAAAGACTAAGGCAGAGTAGAATACAGCGCCTCTCCTCCAGCCAAAGATGTCATCCATTAATTAGGGAAATCGTTAAGGTGGCCTTTATTGAATCCATAGAAAATTGTCAGTTTGCGGTCGACAGTTTTGATCAGATTTTCCTCTCCCCAATAACACTACCCTTAATCGCAGGAGGCGCGGAGGGTTCGGGATGGGCCGGGAGGGGTGCGGGGGAAAGTGTGTGCGCACAGGGGGAGTGTGTGTTTCAGCGACATTACAGTTAAACAGCCGCCAATTGTGACGGCTTTGATTCTCAGGCTTACATGGCATACTTATTCCATGATGTAATCTTTATTGAACCTGGAAGCTGGGGGGTGGGGGGCAGGGGGCAAGTGAAACTCGCTGCCGCCGCTGCCTCTCAGCCGCAGGAAGCCCTGGGAGTTAATATTGCAGTCATCATGGGCAGAGCTCGCTGCTTTTGCATGGTAATACGCTATCTGACTCCCCTCTCCTCCTCCTGAAGAGTGTCTGCTCCCAGCAGTGAGAGCAAACAGCCATCTGCATGACAGACCCTCCACTTCTCCAAGAATACGTTCACTTTAAAGTTGAAGGGCCTTTTTTGTAGATCTTAGATTTTTGTTATGCTCCCTTTTGCAACTACAGTACCAAATTGGTGTTGCTATGGAGAATTTCGAGTGAGATGGTGGACAGTCCTGGCATTTTAACATGTATATATTTTAACGTACTGGGAGAACCGACTAGCTGGAGTTTTTAGCTTTGACCACTTTCCCTACACATTGAAAGAAGCTCTGTCAAGGACAGTGGCTACAGCGAGTCCAGCCTGTTCGGTGTTGGGACCAAGAAAGTGACCTAGCATTGGAGAAGTGTTTTGTTTGAGCATGGGAAGCTGTCACCTTCCAGGGGAGGAAGGCAAAGACAAGAGTTTCTGCAGTCTAGGATGTTTACATTTAAACAATGCTGTCCTAGCTCTAATGTGCTGAAAACTGTTGCCTGGAGCCATTGGTTTGAGGGTTTTAAACATGAGGAATCAAGAGCTGTTTCGATATCTAGAGGTCTATATCCTATACAGCAGGTGACACAAAATGTCTTAAAAAACTTTTGAAAAAAAAACAGTTGGAGGAATAATACTTTAACTGGTTCAGGATAAATTATGCACAATTCTGGGCCGTTAAAGACCAAAATGCTATTAAAAATATCTTGCACTTATTCTTTCACCTCAAATTCCTGTAAAAAGGTTTTTCATGTTAGCATGAATTTCTCTACCAAAAAGAATTTGCATGTAAAATGCCAAGAAAAAGCGAGTTTTTATATTTACAAGGCACACATCTACCTCATTGCCTATATATTTCTGTACAATGTATTATTTATATGTATATATAATATATGCACTATTTATATTTATATGAAATATATATATATTAATTCAAGCTCTCTCATAAAATAGTTCTAGTTTACTTTATATTTTTAGTATGCAGAAGATGTCACCTGCATCAACACAGAAGCAGTACTAAAGAAATGCCGTACGTCGTTTCTGGTTCTGGTACGCTCTGTGCGACCCTCAGCTTTTCTGCATCCTCCCTGTGCCTAAAGGGAGTGTGCTGGTTTCAGCTGGGACAGAGCTAGCTTTCTTCCTAGTACCCTGTACAGTGCTATGGTTTGGATTCAGCATGAGGGCAATGTTGGTATCACACTGATGTTTTAGTTGTTGCTAAGTAGTGCCTACCCAAAATCAAGGACTTTCCAGTTTCTCATGCTCTGCCAGCAAGGAGGCACAGAAGAAGCCAGGAGGGAGCGTAGCCAGGACAGCTGACTCAAACTAGCCAAAGGGATATTCCACGCCACAGAACACCATGCTCAGTATATAAGATGGAGGAGTTGTCTGGGAGGGGCTGATTGTGCTTTGGGGATGGGCTGGTCATTGGTCAGTGCATGGTGAGCAATTGTGCTGAGTATAATGTGCCTCTCTTGGGCTTTATTTCCCTCTTTTTGTTGTCTTCCTTTTCATTACTACTATTTTTAAAAATAATATTTTTAATAATATTGTTATTGATATTATTTTATTTTATTTTCAATAGTAAACTGTTCCTATCTCAACTCATGGGTTTTATCTTATTTTTTTCTATTATCCTCCCCACACCACTGGGGTGTGTGTGTGAGTGTGAGTGCCTGTGTGGTTGCCAGCTGGAGCTAAACCATGTCATGGAGATGGAAGAAGTATATTCCATGAGCAAGGCTCTTTCCATGTGTTGAAGGGCTCCCAGAGGTCTGTGATTTCAACAGGAGAGGCACTGTGTTCCCACAGCTCTGTTTTGGACATTTTTCTGGTTTAGGCTGAGACAAACTAACTCACCCATTGTGTAGCCACTGAGATCCCCAGATAAAGTGCTATAAGAGTGCCACACACTATTATTCTTTTATTATGGAGCAGCAGAGGCTGTTCAAGAGTTACATTGGATTTTTATATGTTTTCCTACTTCCTTTTGTCTTCTAGTAGCAGTCCTGTGGCTTTGAGAGCTTTGAACTCTGAGTAGAGGCGGGTTCCTAAATTTAAGGTGGCATCCCTGGGAGGCTTTGGAAATCATCCTGGGTAGGGCAATACAGAGTCTCTGTTGCTTAGACATATTTTCATACCACTACATCTTCCATACGGAGAACTCATGTCAGTGTTAGCTTCAGCACTCCTGCAATGAATTTTCTGGCACTGTTGAACAGCATTGGTACAAAACCCCTGGTAATCAGTGCATTACTAATGAAGGTGTATGGGCAGGATCAAATCTCAAGTGTGGGAGAAGCTTATTGTAGCTACAGCTGTAAGAAACATACCAAACAAGAGAATATAATGACTTAGAGATGATTTTGTTCTCAGCTGATGGTCCTGGAGTGGCCTTTTGTATCCTTGTTATGGAATTTTACTGCATTTTTCATGTGATATTTTTCCCCTTGGCATCTTCCACTGGGAGCAAAGCAAACAAAAGTCACTGCAAACACAATTTTAAAGTGATTTCAGTTAATACAGCTTTGAGAAGGCTGGTAAAAGGTTTTTACCTTTAAACTAACGCTGTTTTCTGACTATATCCTATATAGCAACACTTACAAGTGACTGAGAAGTCACTGGCTTTGAGTTTTTTTAACTTAATCTTTTTAAAATGGCACAGGAAGGAATCAGTTACAGGAGGCAAGTCAACAGAAGGCCATTGAAAACTGATAGAAGTTCTCTGGAGCCTGGTTTTGGCTGCTTATGCAGTTTCTTCCCCTACCATCTTTAAAAGCATAATGGAAGGTATTTAAGAGAAAGTCTGAGTATCTAGAAGGTAGATAATTCCACTTAACTATAGTCATCTGCTCCTGTTTTTGAGTCCTGAGTATCTTTTTCTATTCACAGTGGGCAGGGGACCACCTGTAAATCTCACTATTTTGACCTATTCCAACCCCCCGTGTCAAGATAAGATAAACTGTGCCCTGAACATGCCTACTCCCCTCCTTGGAGCATAAAAAGGATCTGGAGAACAGCTTCATCTGAGTTTCATTCTTGAAACTGAGTGAAAGTAGAAGCATTCTCTTGTCAAGGGACTCCAGCATGTAACATCTGGTGGGAGGAATGAAGGACCACTGCAGAGTGTGGGGTGGAAAAGGAGCTGGCTAGAGAAGACAGCTGGCTATGCTGAGGCTGTGCTGGAAGGGAATTTCACTCCTGGAATATCTCAAGAATATTTATATGTTTAATAAATAGGTGGATGCAAAATAGAGCAGCATCAGCTATAAAAAGCAGGATGGAATTATTCAGGAAGAGATTATGGCCTTTACAAATATAATGGAGATGGTTTGTAATTGTGCAAAATGTTTTTAAACATTTAAACATTTAAAGGTGAATCGGAAGCATCTCTGCTTGAAGCCAGAAATTCATTACATAGAAATGCGAAAGGGGGAAATAAGTACCTCCTTCTCTTACTCACCACACTCTGACCATGAGACTCCAAAGTTATAGGGTTGCCAAGTAGGCAAATGCAATTCCAGTTTATATCAAATGAGCTGTTTCCAGTAGAGAAAGGAAACCAGGAATGCTGTGCTCTGCCATGCACTGAGACTTCCTGTGGAATTCTATGAACAAAACCTGCAGAAATGGAGGCTATCACAAGTGACTAAAATAAGGTCTAAAGACCCAAGAAAAGAGCATGAGACCTTGCAGAAGGGATTAAAGCAACATCTGAAGGCTTTGCTGAAAGGCTTAGGAGATGGCCTGAGACTGGAGGTAAAATTTTTTAGGGGCAGCAGAAGCTGGAGCAAGTTCAAAATAAATGAATAAGGAACCAGTAACCAGATGGCTGAGGACCAGCAGCTTTTCCGGGGACAGAGGAGGCCAAGGAATCTTTGGCAAGCTTGGGGGTTACTAACTGAGCAGGACAGCAGTGAGGATTAAAAAAGCTAAAAATACCAACAGCACAAGGAAATCAAAAAGTTGCAAAAGTCAGAAACCTGATGTGGAATTAAGGCTGTCAGAGGACTTCTACTGCCTAGCTTTGTAACACTGTCATAACTGCAGAAACAGGAAAGAATGAAGTCAAACTGTACCAAACATAAGAAACTGGCTAAAAAAATTGCAGTGAATAGTCTGAGAAGGCATGCCCAGAACCCTTGTACCAGAGAAGATGGACAGCAACAGTCCAGTTTCCCAGGAACCAAATAGGTCTGAAACATTACCTGCAGCAAAAAATAAAATAAAAAAGAAAAGAAGCTTAGTTTCCAAACTGAGACACACATTCCAAAGCCAGAAACCTTCCCAGTAGACTGGGGCTCACTGGGGTCTCAGGGAAGAGAAGGGGAGAATCTACCCAAGCTAGGAAGAACCTGAGGAACCTTCCCTCCTGGCACACCTCCAGCAAAGGCTGCCAAGAGGCTTTGGCAATGGACCCATTTGGAGGGACTCAGCTGGACTTGGCCTGGCCTGCAAAGACCAGCAAAAGGAGGCCAGAGCCATTCTGAGAGGTGCTGGAATTTGTCACGGGGCTCAGCTGCAGCTGTGTGCTGAAAGGGGACATTGCTGTGGGGCAGAGAGAGAGGAGCTCAGTGCCGCAGGCACCGTGAGCATGGACAAGAGTCTGCACACAGGATGGGAATCCTCCTTGTAGGACTTCAGAGTGATTAGAAGGAAAGATGAAGTTGGTTTATGCCAAGAAGAAAATGTTTGCTAAGCCCTGTTAATTGCTCATTTAAGGGGAGCAGGTAGAGAAATACCACAATAACTATAGCCTGGAGTGTGGCCAAAATGGAGTAACTGGTGGTACCCGGTGAAAGCCCTTGGCCAGCTTTGGAGGGGAAAAGGTGCAACTTATTGACCTGAAAGTACAAGGAAGTAGAAGGGTCAGAGATAGTGAAAGAAAGCTGAGGAGGACCCAAGATGCAGCTTGAGATCTGGGAAATCCTGGCAGTGAATGCAGCTGTGCATCAGGGGTGGTGCCTGCATAGGCGGGTTGCTTTGGAGCAGAAGTGCAGGTTTGAAGCTAATGCTGTGATGATCCTCACTTGCTGCAGGCTGGCTCTGTCACAGAGCCCCTGAAGTGCTCTCAAGCTCATCTCCTGTCAGAGCACACCACTTGGGCAGCACCTCTTGTGTGGTGGGCTGTTTGGGCCACAGAGAAGCTGGCTAAATTTTGTATGAAGGGAACTCCTCCAGGCTGCAGGCAGTGCAGATTTGGAGGCCAATAATTGTTGCAGTCCTCTGTTGAGCCAAAATTCTTGCTAACACCAACAGAGACAGAACATATGGTGACTGTGCAGTTGTGAGTTATGGGCAGCAAACAGAGAGAGCGTGAGTGCTGGGTCAGATGTCTTTTTAATTACTCTAGTTAATGAAAAAAACTGTGAAGCTCTGCCACTGGTAAGGGATCAAGGATAGCTCCTCTGAGTCCTGAAGTCACTTGTTCTACTTCACAATGAAGACTCGAGGCTCATCTTTAGAGGCAATGACCCATTAAACTGCCCCACACTGTCTGGGGAGAAGGCATTGTACAGACCACTGAAGACCTAAAGGTGCCTTCAGCAGTAACTTGGACGTCATCCACAGGTCTGGTGAGGGGAGGAGGTACTGCCTGCCTTGGAACAAAGTAGAGCATGCAGAAAGAAGTAACACCCTTGTAGGTGCAGCCATTGCCGTGAGAGAATAACACCTTGGATATCGCGGCCTGCTTTCCATACTTAGTTTTAAGAAGAGTTGGCAAGTGGCAGTGGAAGCAAAGAGCAGGGGTGAAAGGCAGGAGACAGCATTTCTACTGCGTCAGTAAGCAGCACTTGAAAGTGCCGGCTTCTGGCTGACACTGAGTGATCTTGGAAGCAGTCACTGCAAAATAGGTCCCTCTCAGCCTGTCTGCTCTGCCGAGATGGCTCAGGGCACACTCAGAGACTGCTGGTAAGAAAGGCTGCATTTACAACCAGCCTGGGATCAGATCAAGGCTACCACTGAACTTGAGCTTCCTGAAATGAGAGTTGCTCTGAAAAGGGGCTCCTTCTCATGGACACACAACCTGGCAAGAGAGAGTTTTCTCTAGAAAAAAGGAAAATATGGCTGTGCACAGGACTGGGCAATTTCCCAGGCAGTCACAGATGTGCAGAGTTTTGTGGGGCTCTGAATTTACTACGAAGACCTTATTTGTGGGTTTGCCAATATTGCAGACTCACTATATAAACTGGGTAAGAAACCACCAACTGCAGTGGCATGAGAGATTTAACCACTTCAGAATTAGGGTTTCCTTTTTCTTGGCAGATCCAATGTTAAGACCCCATAGGGGGTTTGTAGCCCCTCTGGACCCAAACGCAAGTCCCTGCAGATGGGAAGCTGCTCTGAAAGAAAAAGAAAATATACGTTATGTGAATGTGAAGGTTTTGTCTTTAATTTATAAAGATCTAATATCAACGATGGTCTAAGTAATCCAGAGCCTTAATAAAGAGGAGTTCAGAGGGGCAGGTTGCCTACAAGTGGGAAAAGTAGTGGAATATATAGTCACATGCATTCCCTGGAATAAGAAAGGTGCTACAGACAACTTGTTCCAGCTGCCTGCTGGAAGTCAGTTTCAAATGTTTCCCTGAGCCAGATTGCTCAAGAGGGGCACTCTAGGAGAGAGGACAGTCCCTTGACTTCCACAACATGGTTCACTTAAACAAAAGTTTTCCAGTGTGTGTCCTGAAAACTGCTCTAGGATCAGATATGCCAGAGAAATGTAGATACTTCCCAAAGACTCCACTTTGGATGTAACGTGTTGAGGAGCTAGCAAATCTAACGTGTAATAATGCAAATGCTGTCATCCCTGAGTACTGGAGAACTGTCATTGTCAGAACTGTCATTGTCTCATCAAAGAGGAAAGTATGTAAAAGATGGGAAACTTTAGAAACCAGAAATTGTTCAGGTACAAGCCAATGATCCTAAATACCTCACGGCTCAGTCCTGAGTTATACATGAGATTTGAAACTGCCAGATATTTGGAGAATGCAAAAAGTCTTGGACAAACTATTAAGAGGATTTGTGGTCAGTAAAACACCAGTCAAAGGCATAAGAAATTGGGCAAGAAATGAACTCTGCAAAAATTGGGATGTTGGAATGCAATAGACATACAGAGTAAAGAAGAAGCTGTCTAACAATGTATTAGAGAAGGGATGCAGAAAGAAAGCCCAAGACTTTGTTTCAGTCTCCTGAACTCCTCCTGCAAACAGGAACACCCCCAGCGAGGAAGACAGTCTGTTACATGTTGTATGTGGCATGCATTTTACAGCTGAGGACTGTAGGTCACATCATCAGCTGGAAGAGAGCAGCACAGCTTCATTCCCTTTCATGGAACAGCACCCACTCCCCGCAGCTGCAGATTCACCTCCTCCGTGCTCCTCTGCTCCATTAAGGCAGCAGTTTTCCCCTAAAACATTGTTTTCAGAGTTTCTTTCTGTTGTGGGCGCTGGGAGAAGAGTAAAGGTGTCCTCCAAGGGTGGACCTTGGAAATAGTTGAAAAGATAATTCATTACACAGCCACCCTTTGCCAACATGTCTGGCACCTGTGGTCAACCCAGGATGTTTGGTTGGGGCAGTTCTTTTTCTCTGCTTCATGATTCCTGCCAGCTCTGCAGTGTGGGTAAGACCTTCATATCAGTCTTGGAAAGAAGAATTTTTTATTTTTTATTTTTTATTTTTTTGCTTTTCTATTGAGTGAAAAAAAAAGCTGAGATGGATCCTCAAAAAAACATCCTTTGTTCTTATCAATCTAACTCCCTGTCTAAACTCGCAGACCACATAGACAAGATACACTTATGAACAGAGTGAATAAAATGTAACCTCACCTGCTGCAGGGGGAATGGATGAGAGGAAAGATTGGGAGGGGACAGAATAAACGGAGGACATGATTTAGGAGATGAAGAAAAGCAGGGACCAGTTTGTCTCCTGCATCCTGTACAGCAACTTTCCCAATAACTCTGACTGCTGAGAAACTGTGGGGCTTTTCTATGGTGTCTAAAACTATGGAGGGGGTTTTGATAGGCCCAAAAGTATGGAACTGTGTCCCTTGAGCTTGGGGAATTTGGGAGGGGCAGAGACACCCACAGGGAAGGGAACATAAATTGGTAGGTACAGACTGAGGCAGGGTGGGAGGTAGGAAAGCAGTGAAGTTACGTCAGGTTTGCAGAAGTAAGAGACAATTCTGGGGATGGCAGGGGCTCAGCTGGTGAGGAAAGGAGAAATCTCCTCTTGGAAGGAACATCTGCAGGAACATCAATGTCTCTTCACTCTGAGTCTGTTCAGCAATGTCTTCCGGTACATCAGGATGGGGGAAGTAGTGCCATT